TCACTTGATGCGGTACCTGAACGGTCAAGCCAAACGCGTTCCTGGGACTTCCCCGTCCCCGAGCTGCCATTCGTGTCGCCCCCTGTGGGAGCCCAGGTTCTGGGTCCCCAGAGCGGCTATTCAAGGTCCTGGGGCAGGGCGGTGGAGCTTTGAGATGGGGGCCTCGTTGGGTTTTTTTTTTTTTTTTTTTTTTTTTTTTTTCATCGCACTGTCCGTATTATCCATTAAAGGTACCTTCTGTTTGAAGCAAGTATATTTTTCGTATTATTATTATTGGCAATTAATCCTGAAATGTTTGACCCATCTCGATGGTTGCTCGTTGTCTGTCCAATATCAATCTTCCCTGGACAGACTCAACAACAAACAAGAGCCTGTCACCAACATCCGTCACCACATGTGTCCCTTGAAGCCTGCACGTTCTGGAACAGCTCCAAGTAACTGGACAAGACTAGCGGAATCAAACTACCATACCCTGTTCAAATCTCATACCCAGCGGGACGGTGAAGCCACCACCCGCCACGAGCCAAGGTGTCTTGTTGAGATACTCAGTCAAGCTCTCTCTGTCTCTAACTCTGTGAAACGCTTGTGTTCTTTGGACGGTCTCAGAGATACAGGCAGCAAGCTGACCACTCACCAATTGATGCTGCTGCATACTGATTGCAAATCTGTGCAACCCATTTGTGCGTTGTGTTATGTTTCTTTACCGCCTCTTCGCCTTACGGGCCCGTCCTGGCATAATAGGGGTACCAGGTAGTACGTAGTGCATACAGTAGATCTCTTTCTCCCTAAAGTTGCGGTGGGTGGCATCATGAAGGCCCAGACTGTGCTCATCGCCGGCAGCTGGCAACCCAAAGGAGTCAATGATGGAACATTCTCAGTGGTCGGTCCGTGTCTGAACGTCTTCTCAATCTCAACGAAAAAAAAGGTTCATGAATTGGTGGTCCCGTGATTGTGAAAATACGTAAGAGCGACAGGGCCTTGGCCGCCTGAAAAAAACTTGAAAGCTAAAAGATACCTGAAAGCCCCACCATCTCAGGTGGCTGATGAGGTACCTCGCTGAACCACCGATGATGAATTGCCCCGCCATTCTTTTTACATTGCTACCCCGGACTTTGTTGTCAAACATGGAAGTTGCGTCTTCAATCAAGTAAAATGGGGGTAATGGAAACCTCCTTTTCGACCATGATGCAGTTTCTGACGATGCACGGGACCGGCCCGCGTTTACAAATTCAGTAAGCATCAAAAGAAAAGTTTTCTTTTCGAGATCCATGGTGTGAAAAACGCAGACGCTAAGAACAGAACCCACTTGGGATCTTGAAATCTACGTTGACCGCTGCTATGCCGCCATGCCCGGCCGTAATTAACTATTCAAACACCGGCCTTCTTGGGAATGGAATGCTTTTCCAATGGCACATTGCTAAAGTAAATTTAGACGCGGAAAAAAGAGATTTCTGATGTCCTCGTGGCGCGTAGGCCTGGTAAGTCTGTAATTATCCCTAGACAGGCTGGGAAAGGAGTGGGCCGTGGTCACGGGTTCAAGCTTTGAGATTTGGTGTTGGCTCGGCGCCCGTTGACAAGTCTTGCAGTTCATCCCTGCCAAGACTGGGGAAACCGAGCCAAACACTGCCCCGCGAATGCCCCGCCAATAGTGTACGGAACCCCGAAGCCCATCGTTTATCACCGGGAATCCATCACCTGCCCAATAAACACACCGAAGAAACCACGACCAACTTAATCTGAGACTTTTCCAATGAAACAAAGAACAACCTAAAAGCTCGATCGTGAAGATCGATTTCAAATCATTTTTCTCTCTCTCGCTCTGCTCCTGACTCAACAATGGCCTCTCCTCTCTCGCTTCTTCGCTCTCTGCAGAGGTCAGCTGATGTACATATCGGTGGCGGCCTCTCGGGCAGATATTTTTCACTTCTGTTGGGATTAGGGGAATCCACAGAAAAGGCACAAACACCCGATCTGACACATACACACATACACTCCATCAGAAATGTGCATCTGAACATTGATGATCACGCTGAGCTCAGCTCATCCATCTGGGCCTTCAGGGTGCATGAAGTCGTGCACGGCATTACCTAACCTTGGGAATGCCAAGATGACGACACGGGACCCATGCGGAGTCGCCATTCCGATCATTGGACCGGGTCGGATGCGGGGGAGGGTCAGCGGCACACCCGGGCCTTGGGACGGCGGAATCCCGGCGCCCCGGGTGATGTGAGGTCAGGAGATATTTTGCACAAATGCAATCCTTGCTTGGAAACATGCAACCGGCCAAGAAGCATAGCCCTACAATTATCCAGGGTACCCCCTCTCATATTTCTTGTATCTTCAAGTAACTTTTCTCTTCTACATATCTATCTATGTCTTCAGCCACTTGATACAACCAAGTGGTTGTCACACTCGTCTTCTAATCCTGCAGGATCGGAAGATATCAGACATCCAAGTGGCTGTCGTTGAGGGTGGCATCATCCGTCTTTCCTAAATAGCCATGTTTCCATTATCCAACTGAAATATTCCGGAACTCATGTGAATTATCTTCTCAAATCGTGCAACCTCGTCGTCGTCGAAACGAAACAGCCACACCATCAGGTCGAAATTAATAGACCATGCTTCCTCTACCGCCGGAAATAGATGTGTCAAAATCTTGGCATGTCTGGCCATCTCGTGCGAGACCTTCGGACCACAATCGTCGACGCAAGTCCAAGCTATGAGGTAATACAGACCCAGTCACCGTGGCAGGCACTCCTCCGAGATGACATCGAGATCGAAGTTGTCGAAGGTTCCATCTGCCTTCTGGCTTCTGCCGAGTCCCGTTGGTTGCCGCAGGTGTGTCTCCACCCTCGACGAGCGGCAAAGCGGCACAAGAAACCTGCCCCTCTCTCAGAAACTCTTTGCCGGGGGCGGCGGGCGATGGAGGGGTAGGTCGCTGGTGGGGTGGTCTATCAAATTGACTTTCTCTTTCCCGGGCACTCACAACCACCCATAGAGACTCATTGATCATTGATTTGTAAGTGCAAGGCAAAAAGAGTGACCTATGAGAAATTGCATCTGCAAAGACTAACATAGTCTGTCTATTTTCAGTCCTTTTTTTCATGTTTCACAAAAGACACAGAGAAATTGAACCCCGCAGTTGTTTCGAGCTTCTTCGATCTGCCGAGTGAAGCTGCAACTTTCAACTCAAAAAAAAACTTGCTCACAAGTAAGTCACAGTGTCACACAAGACATTGATTGCGCAAAATATGAGTTCGACTTCCGTGATATCCGAAGCCATCCAGCGAGCTGCGCAGCTCGACAAGGATGACGTCCTCGCGTTTACTCGCAGCGAGTTCAACATCCCGACCAGAGCCCAGATCGCGAGTACCCGGTTGCCCGATTCATCAGGTTTGTCTTCTTAGTCTCAAAACTCTCTCATCGAGGTAGACAGAGGTTAAATGTACGTCACACAGCCTCCACTACATCCAGTGCCGACGAAGACGACAAGTGCATCTACCTCTGCGGTAACTCTCTAGGCCTTCAACCCAAGAGAACTCAAACCCGCATTCAGCAATACCTTTCCACATGGGCCACCCAAGGCGTCCAAGGGCACTTCAAGCCTCTGGAGGACTCACCCCTCCCAACATGGCTCGACGCCGATGACCGTGCAGCCCAGCTGATCGCCCCCATCGTGGGCGCCTCAGTTTCCGAAGTGGCTGTCATGCAGACGCTCACGGCCAACTTGCACCTCCTCATGTCTGCCTTTTACAAGCCAGACATAAACGGCAGACACAAGATTATTCTTGAGTCTAAAGCTTTTCCAAGCGATCACTTTGCTGTTGAGACTCAACTCCGCCACCACGGTTTGGACCCGGCAACATCCATGATCACGTTAACCTCGCCGACTTCCAAAGATAACATCCTTACTACCGAAGAAATCACCTCCGCGATTTCACTCCACGCAGACAGCACCGCTTTACTTGTCCTACCGGGGATCCAATACTACACCGGACAGCTCCTCGACATGCCAACCATCACAGCCTTCGCTCGGTCAAAAGGAATCTTTGTAATCTGGGATCTGGCCCATGCGGTAGGCAACGTCCCTTTGTCCCTGCACGACTGGGACGTCGACGCCGCGGCGTGGTGCTCGTACAAGTACCTCAACGGCGGGCCGGGCTGCATAGGAGGGCTGTTCGTGCACGAGAGGAACAGCGCCGTTCCCGAGCTGGAGCCGGAGTCGGATGGTGATTACCAGAATCGTCTGGCCGGGTGGTGGGGAAACAACAAATCAACGCGCTTCCAAATGAAGAACAAATTCTATCCCGTCAAGGGCGCCGCCGGGTTTCAGCTCAGTAACCCCTCCATCCTGGATATCACTTCGCTCTGTTCGAGCCTGGAGGTGTTTGCTTCCGTGCCCGGCGGTGGCGGCATGCAAGCGCTGAGGGAGAAAAGTTTGAGACTTACAAATTTCTTGGAGGAGTTGTTGCTCAGCGATGATATGCTGCCGGAGGATCTGAGGAAAATGTTTAGGATCATTACTCCCCGGGATGAGAAGCAGAGAGGGGCGCAGCTGAGTTTGATGTTGTTGGGGGAGGAGGGGTTGTTGGAGGTCGTGATGAAGGAGTTGGAGGAGGGACGGGGGATAATTGTTGACGAGAGGAGGCCGAATGTTATCAGGGTCGCCCCCACGCCGCTGTATAATTCCTTTGGGGACGTGGTTAGGTTTGTGGAGGGCTTTGCTGGGGCTTTGCGGGTTGCTCGTGCGGGTGGGAGGAAGTAAATGAGCTCTTTTGGGATTTTTTTTTTGTATATGAAAGAATTTTTTTCCAAGAAGAAAGAGAAATGATTGAATCTGATTGTTTTAGCTTTTATTTTTGTGACGTTGTGTGGTCGTGATACTTTTTTTGACTCAGGGGTTGGTTAGGGGGGTGTGGAGTTGGCTATATAAGATGTGTTTCCGAATGAGCACATCAACAATTTGACAACAAAAAAAAGAGACTGCTGTTCAACAAACAGCCCGGCTAGCGCAATGGTAGCGCGTAAGACTTCTACTTTCGAGGACCTCTTCCAGGAGATCAAAAGAAGCGCATGCAATCTTAAGGTTGCGGGTTCGAGTCCCGCGTCGGGTTCATTTTTGTATCCAAGTGTCATGATTCAAGTTTTTTTTTGTGATTAAAAATTTTTTTCCCCCCCAAGGCCAGGAAGGATTCTGTTTGGTGTTTATTTTTTTTTAAATTTTTTTTGGTTTGGCAAAGCCCATGCATATACCTATCCCCCCCCCCCTGCTTGGAATCAAAAGTGGACTGAATGAACCTTTATTATGGGAAATTTGTATGAAACTTGAAATTGAATCCAAGAATTCGTTGGTGAGAGAGAGAGAGAAAGAGAGAGAGAAAGCTGAGCAAGGTTAGTTTTTTTTTTTTTTTTTTTTTTTGTATGTTTTACAGATTTACACATCTGTGAATATGTTGTGTTGAAATGGTCATATCCAACTATGACTGAAAAAAATATGTCAAGCGTTGTGAAGATTCTTTGACGTTGTTGGTGATCGTCATTGATGATGTTGGTGTCTTTGTGGGATGTGGATGCATTTGGAAAATCACGAATGTTTTCTCAGAGATACAGTTGGAGGAATTTGTTGAAGGAGTGTGTGCTTTAATTGGGAAATTTTACAATGGTTGATCGCAGATGTATTCATCTAAAAAAAAAAATTAAAAAAATTTTGTTGGTTAAGGTCTGGCAGCAGATACAGAGGTAGGTATGTCAGCTGTTTTCCCTCCTGGATAACAGGCAGTTACAAGAATCTTAACCTGGAAGAGCAGTTACTTTATTGTTCGGATTGAGGTTTTGTTTTTCGTTTGACTTCATTGTCTTGATACAGTTCGATCTCATGATGAAGCGGGACAGAAAGGTCATTGGAAACGGATTGATGATGGCAAAAAGAGAGCATGGATGGACACTGTCCCTGCTATGGGATGTTTAGAAAGCTTTGGAAATGAAACATATGTCTTGTTTTATTCCGTGTTCTGAATTTCTTCCAAGGCCTAGTCATCTTCAGGAAGGCCTGTTTCTTTTAAAAAGGCTTTGCATGGCGTGTTAGCTGTCTGAAAACTGTACATGATTCTAGATGCGATTCTCATGTCAACAGTCCCTGACTGGCCAAGTATGCGGCCCCTGAATCAGCCCAAACCTCATACTTCTCCACCTTGTCGTTGCCATCAAACTCCAAAACATAGGTAAAAACTTCTTCCCAGCTCTGGCCGGTGCTACTCCACGTAAAGGTTGCCTCGCCGCGCACCGAGACTTTTCGCGCCTCCGTATCTACTACATAGTTGCTGAAACGCATGTTCTTGTAAGTCAAAAATTCCGAGATGGCGTGAAGGTATTTTTGAAGACCATCCTTCCCTCGAAACTCTCGACCGAGAAAGGGGGCGAGACGGGGCAGACCGTGCTCGATGACGACGATGTTGGATTCGGTCGAGGTGAAGTGGCTGAGTATCTCGTCGGGCGGTTTTTGGGATGCAAATGACTCGCAGAACGAGGTTGCTGCTTGGAGGAGGGAGGCACGGTGAGACATGGTGGTTTCGGTTTGGAGTGAAAGGTCATGGGTTGCATCGAATCACATGGACATCGCTTATCACTGCGACGTCCTCGTGGCACACAGTTTCCCGCTGAGTTGTTGCGCCCAGACCCGTTTTGCAGCAGTCCTGCAAGTCCTGCAGCCCTAGCTCCATCTGTCAAACACGGCAAGTCGGTTCGCCAACCAGCCAACCACCCAACTTAAACCGGACGACGCCACTGTGACTGTGACCCGAAAGTCAATTCCCCAACTCTATTTCGCAATCCAGGACATCTATCAGACGAAAGCCCATACTCATATTCTGTGCAGCTCCTCCAGGGTTGTTAGTGCGCGATGGTAAGATAAGACATGCACCAACTTGTCACCCAATGTTTCCTCTCTAACCACCACCGTCAACAGTCCCCAACGACGAAGCGGTCGTCGGAGCAGACGCCGCTGCTTGCCGAGACATCGGCACGACGCTCCTCCCAAGACTCCCAACGCCTCGCCGAAGAAGAAGATGCCGCCATTCACGGGACACCTCTCCCAGCAGAGAGGAAACGATCCTCAAGGGAACTCTTCCTCTTTTCTTGGGCCTTCCTCGCAACCGCAGCCGTCATCGTGCTCACCGTAGTTCTCCAACACCGCAATTCTACATCATCAGCCCCGGCGATTCCAACAATCCCAGGCGATCCAGCAACGGGTGATCCATACACTACAAAATCGAGCCTCAAAAAGGACAGGAAACGCAATCTCGTCTTCATGGTCTCAGACGGCATGGGCCCTGCCTCTCTGTCTCTTACCCGCTCATTCAGACAGCACGTCTCCAAACTACCAATGTCCGACACCCTCACACTCGATAAGCACTTCTGGGGCTCGTCGCGCACGCGGTCATCGAATTCTTGGGTAACAGACTCGGCCGCCGGTGCGACGGCATTCTCCTGCGCGCGCAAGAGTTACAACGGAGCAATTGGCATGGAACCCGGCTTCAAGCCCTGTGGAACCGTCCTCGAAGCCGCCAAGCGAGCTGGATACAAGACTGGCCTGGTAGTCACCACAGATATCACGGACGCGACTCCAGCATGCTTCGCCTCGCACGTAGCCTACCGCTGGCAAATGGACGAGATTGCACTCCAAGAAATCGGAGAGGGTGTTCTGGGCCGTAGCGTGGACCTGATGCTCGGCGGCGGCCGCTGCCACTTCCTCCCCAATACCACCGCGGGAAGCTGCAGACTCGACGACGTGGACGTAGTCGGCATCGCCAAAGAGAAGCACGGTTGGGGATACGTAGACGACCGCTCTGGTTTCGACTCGCTCAAGTTGGGCAAGAACGCCAAGCTCCCTCTCCTCGGCCTCTTTGCTCCCCGCGACGTTCCCTTCGAGATTGATCGTAGCAAGATGGCAGACACCTACCCCAGCTTGAGCGAGATGGCTACTACCGCATTGGAGGCCCTCGAGGAGGCAACCAAGGACAGCGAGCAGGGATTCTTCCTCATGATCGAAGGAAGCCGCATCGACCACGCAGGACACATCAACGACCCGGCCGCTCAAGTCCGTGAAGTCCTTGAATACGACAAGACATTCCAAACAGTTCTGGACTTCATCAAATCCTCAGACACCGAAACTGTCCTCGTTGCTACATCTGACCACGAAACAGGTGGTCTGTCAACAGCCTGGCAAGCGCACAACGAGCTCCCAGTCTACAACTGGCACCCTCAAATCCTTGCCAACGCCAACGCCTCGTCCGAATACCTCGCCCTCCTTCTCGGTGAGAGAATCGCCACCACTCCTGATTCCTACCTGTCCCTGGTCGAATGGATCAAGACAGATTTGGTACAAAACAAATTGGGCATCTCTGACGCTTTGGAGATTGAAATCAATGCGCTAGCATCGAATCCCGCGGCTGCTCAAACTATTTTTGCCCGAATGGTGAGTATCAGAGCGAGGATCGGATGGAGTACCCACGGTCACAGTGCTGTGGACGTGAATGTCTACAGCAGTGGCGGCCCTGGCACGGAAAAGATCAGGGGGAATGTGGAGAATATTGAGGTTGGAGGGTTCTTGAACGAGTATTTGGGTGTTGATCTGGAACCTATTACTAAGGAGCTGAGGGAGAAGATGGAGCAGGAGGAGGTGGATGTTGTTGCCACTCAGGAAGAGGATGGTGTGGTGGGCATGGACAAAGTGCATCCTCTAGAGTGGGTGGGTCTTTCTTTATGAAGGGTGTTTTAAGGGGAAAGTGTGGTTGGTAGCAGGAAGAATCAAGAAGAGTATATGTTCCTTTTTTTTTCTTTTCTTTTTTTTTTTTTTTTTTTTTTTTTTTTGGGTATGAGGAACTTAATTATGATTAGATGGGATTATGAGAGAGAGGGTGGTGTTTGTTTGCATGAAGGAACTAAATCATCATGGATGGGATGAAAGTGAAACGCAGCGTGGGCAGTGAGCAGTGGACAACTTTTAGATTTTATTATTTGGTTAGTTGAGTCTTTTTTTGGCATATCGCTAGCGATTGATGACATGCATATTCTTCCCCCCCCCCTTTTTTTTTTAAAAGAAACGGACACTTGCTTGGTGTTTATCATAGATGAGAAGCATTTGAGATACCTCACCTTACTTAGTCTTCTTGACTCTGAATACTCCCTCCGCCTTGAACAACCCGCCCGATTCCTTCCATTTTGAGCTGTTGGAAGGTCAATGACGAATATTAGGTGAAAAGGGGAAGGGCATTGCCATGTAATATTTATTGTATTTTACTGCTATATTGATTCACGCAATGACAAGAGAGCCTACAAAAATACTTCTCGAAAACTCAGCACAGAACAGAACAGAGAGAAAAAAAAAAGAAAAGGAAAAGGAAAAGAATACGTAGGTAGATACGCTCATTAAAAGAAGAAGAAGAAGAAAAAGAAGTAGTCTAAACCGCTATACAACCAACAAGGAGAAAGAAAAAAGAAACACAGAGTTCTAATTCAATCAACAAAGGGCCCCAAAAAAAAGTAAGAGTAAAAAAAAAAAAAAAAAAAAAAAAAAAAAAAAAACCCCCCCCAAAAAACCCCCCCAAAACCCGGCCCCGCCCAAAGTGGGGTGGCGGCTTGGAAGGGGGTGGGTCCGGGGGCCCAAA